ATTAGGAGGCACACACGTAGGTGCACCTGGAATATTCTATCTGTAATGGGACTAGTAGACATTTCATCTGACAGATCTACTCAGTCCAGGCTGACCTGCAGTTGTATCTCAGCTGCATTGCCTTTATTCACTCTATCATCTAAACAGGTGAATGAAAAGCTCTGAGCCAGAACCTGGACAGGTATGGAGACACTGAGAAGTGGGGGAGGGTGGAAATGGTTCTAGGAAGTGACCCTACTGACAGCCTGAGGCTCACATTCCTAAAAACAGTTGGTCACATAACTTCAACCCTCACTTAAGCAAAGGAATGAGACAGATCGCCTTCCCATCGGCCTAAAACCCACAGGCTTGCTTAGGTGCATTAAACAAAGAAGATTAAATAGTAAGGGAAAAAAGTGACAGTATCACATTTAAAAGACACCATCGCCCCTAAATTGTAAGGCCTCTGAATGTTTCTGTGCTACTGTAGCTGCTTTTACACAGGTCGGCCCCAACTTTCAGCCTGGCTGGAAGATAAATACTTCCTTTACTACCTTTCATCTGGAACAAAGACATCCATTCATAGTTAATGGAAACAACTTTTGTAAAGGGGCATAGCTAAACCTATTTATTTTTCTAAAAAAGTTTCCAAGCTAAGGCAGTAAGCAAAACGATTGTTTCCTTAATGTTTTACACCGTCAATATTAGTGTTAGGTGGATCTCACACAGACACACGCGTGAATCAGGGATGCACATGTCTGACTTCATCACTCGCTAGTATGTGGGCTTGTGGCTATTTGGAGCTCTCTCTGCTTCAGTTTTCTCATCTATAAAATGGGTGGTATTATCTACCTCATAGGGATGTTCTGAGGGATAAATAAGTGAGACATAGAAACACTGCTTACTGCCCGCCACGATACAAAGACAAAGCATTACATTCATCCATTTTGTATCCAGAATTTGCCACTTTCTCTTGATAATCATTCACCCCACTTCTTCCTGTTAGTAACAGAACTGCCTAGTATTAGCGGGCTTGCCTGGCAAAACATCACACTTGCCAGCCATGCATGGATGTGTGTCTAAATTCCGGTCGATGGTGTGGACAAAAAAAGGGGCCACACACTAAACCTGACAAGCTCAGGGAGGTCTGCATGGCAGGGCCTACAGACTCAGACTGAAAGTAACGACATAGGATGGTCTGAACATAAAGATTTCTAACAAAAAACAGGTCGTGGCAGGTAGTCATATCCTGGCCTGTAACTTCCTTGACAAAGGTCCATCTTTACCTTAGGTAAGCCTATATATTGTCTTTTTGCATCTAAGATAACATGACCTTGGAATGTCAGAGGAATCCCTCCTCTGGCCCCTCTGGGTACAACCTGTCACAGGAGAACAGGAGACACAGACCGCTCCCTCATTTTTGTCTTATTCCCCGATACCATCTCTATATGCTGTAAATGTTAATTATTAACTATCTGGTACCCACCAATATAAAGGAAGCATGTGCCTCTCCATTTTTATCCAATCCCAGAGATTTCTCCGCTTTGCTTTCTCCCACCCCCTTAATCTACCACCAGTGTATATCATGTAACCATCCTTACGACTGCTCCTTTGGTTCTAATCATAAAACAAGCTGCAAAATTGCCGTTCTCAGGAGCCTTCTCAATCCCTTGAGATTGTGCTTTCCAGCAATCATCAGTTTTGCTCAAATAAACTCATTAAAATTCTCTACAGATCTGGACACTTCTCATGTGGACCACAGGATGTGGGCAGGAATGCTGTGCGCCGCTCCCCAGGAAGGAAGCGCCTTGCCCTCCATGCTTTTCCCTCCCACCAGAAGCTGGAAAGGCCCAGGACTGCACACGCAGCACCCCAGGGACAGTGGAGCACTGAGAAGGTGAGTCCGGGTCACCCTGCCCCCTCGCCGTCGCGGGATCTCTCCCCTGCCGGAGCTTCTGTAGTCCAGAAAAATAACTTTTATTCTTTTGAAGCTATAATTTGTTGGTTTCTGTTAAAGTGGCCAAATTAATACTAATGCTAAAGTATTTACTCATTTTTAAATTATGAGTTTACAGCACGGCATCTTGTTATTTATTGCTATTTTCCTCCATATCGATCAGTTATTTGAGGTCAAGTCCTTACTGGGGAAAAACAGTCTCCTCCTGCCCAAACTGTAACACTCACAAGTCCCAGGTGGGCTCCAGGTCCAGGCAATGGACACCTGGACAAGTGGCAGAAATCCAGAACAAAGTGCCCAGCAGCCTTCACGGAGGGGACTGTTGGGGAAGGTCATGGTCCCAGCACAGGGTGGGCAGGGGCTCACACTCTTCTAAACATAGCAATGGACCACCCAATATTCCAGTGTCAGGGATGAGAGTGTAACGCTCCACTGGGCAGCGTCCACCTACCAGCCGGAGGTAGTTCTGCAGCATCTGAAGAGGGATCAGAGATGCGTAGGTCACACTGCTGAGGCAGCCTTCTTGAGGACCTGTAAGAAAGAAAAACACAGAAGGAAAATGGGCTTTTCCTTGTTAAACATAAATGATCAAAATGCAACAGCATCTACCATAAAAGATACAACGTGTTTGCTGACTTACTAGGCAGAGCTGATATTTGGTCAAGAAGCGCTAGTGTGCTTTTATCATTGTGAAAAGATTGTAATACTTTGTACTGGCTGGTAAACAGCCACAGCTCCTGGCCTCCCAAGAGCTTCCCAGTGGCTCCTTCCTTCCCCAGGAAGCCCGCCCACCTTCTGTCAATCATAGCCAGGCCACCAGATCCCGTCTCTGACACTGTGGCTGTTATCTGCTCTGATCACTGGATTCAGTCTTATGCTGTTTATAAGAAAGCGTTATCAGAGATGGTTCCAATCCTCAGAAAGTTTCCACCGTGGCCAGCATTAATGCACAGCTCTGGGTTCTCCGTCTAGGTCCATTCCCCAACTCTGTCCCCCAACCTTCCTTCCAAGTTCTGCTCTTCTCTCAATACACTGAGCCTAAAGGAATTTTCTAGGATGGTCTCACACTTTTTTTTTNAAAAAAAGACTTGAGTTTGGCCTCCAAAGAGACCAAGACATACTTAGAGGAACTCCTGGATAGTGGAAGAAAACCAGGCTTAACCACCAGGTGTCAGACCATGAGCTAAAGAGGGGCCTCTTGATGTTGGACTCGGGATTGGGTTTCAGGCTCTGAAAGACAACATATCTGGCAACTGCAGTGATTCTCTGATTTCGAATACTATTCCACTATTGCTAAGCTTTCAAAAAAGGAAGTCATTGGACTCATACTGTGGCTAGGGCAGCAACACGGAGACCTGAGTGCCTGGAGAAAACACGACAGTGCCTATAGCTGCCCAAGCAACGTCAGCATCCTAAAGCCACTCAGCAGCAGCTGGTCTGGGTGGTTTTCTGTGGTATTGGGGGTCAGTGAGCCAAGGGGTAATAGAGGGGTCAGCAAGGACAAACACTGGGACAGGGATGAGAGAGAGAATATTCTAGAAAGTTCAGCTGAGGTTCTGCTTCTAGGCAGTGAGGCTGTGGAGCCATAAGACTGCAGAGGTAAATCATTATTAAAGAAGAATTATTAAAGAACAATGTGTTCTAATTTGTACTTGGGAGCCTGGGGATATACAAATTGTACCTGTAATGAAAAAAATGTTTTCCAGATTTATCTAGTTGTGGCCTCTTTCTCCTCATCTTAAATGGAACATGGTAAATTCTTTGACATGCACAGTCAGATGTTTTTTGGCTCAGGACATTTTTCTTCTATTATGTTTCTGGTAATTTCTCCTCTTCAAGTTCTCTTATTTCTAAGGGACACCTATCATGCTTAAGTTCCCTTTCTGTGCTCTGTGAGGGTATCTACCTGTCTCCTTTTCATTATCATAACTCTGTCCTCGTCTACATTGAGAGACAGCTGGGGTGAGTCTTTCAAAACATTGAACAGAATATTCACTCTCTCACTTCTGCTCTTTATTGTCAAGTCACTTTTAATGACGCATTGCCTTTTTAGTTGTTCTTATAGTTCCTTACCTGACCCATCTGTTTTCCAACACTTTTCCTTTTAATCTTCACCTCACCTCTACCATGGCTTTCTTTCCCTGCTTTCATGGTCTATCTCTTTGCATTCTCTGCAGAATAAATATAATTTTTCACACTTTTCCCCTGGTTTCTCTAGCAATTCTTAAGGTGTGCTCTTCTTCTGAATGCTTTCAGAATGATAACTCTGTTCTGCTCTGCAGTATTCTTCCTATGTCTATATTAACTTGTTAATATCCATGTACTTGGGAAACCACAGGAAGGATTCTGCAGGAAAGCAGGATGTGTGGTCCCTCACGGGTTTCACTGGCTGTCCACTAATTGTTTGGCTGAATCTCTCTCTACCTTAGCTCATTGGATGGGAGGTGGACTGGTGCCTGTAGCTTCTAGTTAAACTCCAGGGTCCAGCACTGGCTGCAGTGGGCTGACCTGCTGTCCACCAAGGCAGACAAGTGCATGAAATGACCTGCAGTCCAGGAACGGACGCTTCCGCACCCTCCTGCTGCCAGTGCTCATCTAATCCGCTGCCCAGACGTGGCAGTTCCACGGAAGCCACCAACTGCCAGCCCAGGCATCCCCAGGAGCTTTCATCTCTGAAAGGATGTGCAAGGACCTGTGCTGACAGGCCGTGAAGGAGAATACCATTGTGCTGTGAAAAGCAGAGACCACACAGTAAAGGACAGAGG